TACATCCACCGGGGCCCTGGTGGCAGACACCGAATGGACAGAAACTGTTTGGCCATAATTTCGCTTCATTTAAGCAGATGATATGAAAAGGCAAATTAATAATTATAAAAAAATTATATTTATTAATTTGCCTTTTCATATCATCTGCTGAAATGAAGGGTTTTAAATATATTTTAATTATTTTCGTCCATAAATAACGTTTATATCATAAGAAAAATACTTTTCTAAAAAAATTATTTTTTAATTTCATATTAATACCTTAAAATATTATTTTAATATTAAATTGAGTAAAATATTCTTATTCTACGTTAAATTCCACATTGATTTCATATATCACATGATGGAATTTTTTCCGAAAATATTCTCTATAAAAGTGGTCACTGCGGCCGAACCCGAGGTCACAGGACAATATAAGTTACATATTCGAACTCAGGGTTAAAAGGTCTATGGGAATCAATCATAATATCCCGGGTGCCAGCTTAGGCAACTTACCATACACTTTCGACATTATTCTTTTTTTTCAAATGATTATTAGTAATTGCTATTAACATAAATATTTTGTGGAAATTATTTACAGTTAACCTAACCTAACCTTTAATATGAATATGGATTTGTCTCAACCCATACCCCATGAATGGCGGGTAAGGGGTGTCGACAGTCATGTTTATCGCACAGGTTTATCACTATTCAGACCTCCATATCCTTATAAGAGAAATAAATTTTATAATCCATTTTTCATAACAATAATCACTATATTTTATTTAATTAAATGTTCAATCTCACTATTTATCAATGTTAATAATATTCAAATAGCGAACTTATATCATATGGCACTGGGTGATTTAGATTTTTTTCTAAAAGTTGGAAATCTAAACAATATAATATTTATATTAATATCCAGTTTCATATTATTAGTTCAATCTCTTAATTATTATAATTATTGGAAAGATATAAAACCCACGGATTTTCAAATATTTCAAATGATTTGCGGTTTTATTTCACCTAAAAGTATCCAGATCAATGACCAAATATTAGTCCACAAAATTACTAAAATGTCGAAAAATTTATTTAATATGAATTACTACATAATTACTTCTATGCCTATTTTTGCGGTTTTATATCAGGTAAGTTTATACTTAAATAAAATAACCTTACTCCAGTTCACAATATTTGGAGTTTGCAACATGGTACATCATAGTATGATTGCTATATATTTGATGAATGTGTTAACTTTTCAAACTTTCTACTATGTTGTCCTGGCATATTATTTAAAGTTAAAAATTAATTCAATCAACAATGTAATCACAAAGCGTTTCAAAGAACCATGGTTATTTACTTACCGTAAAAATAATGATTTTATCACAAAAACTATACGAGAATTAAATGCAATTTATGTGGAAATCAATGAATATAACAGTAATTATTGGTCCAAATATTTGTGCATATTTTGGTTTGTAATCAGTGAACTAATTACATATTATTTGTATTTATTAATATTTATCAAATTTAACACTCTAATTCAAATGATAATAATGTATTCCACATTCATTTATTTATTAATGTTATTATTTTTAATCCATATATCGTCGACACTATATATTTGTGCGAATAATACTTATATTGTATTCAATTCATACATATCTCATACCAAACATATACCACTGAAAAGTAAATTAAAGGTAAGTCTCTCACAAAAATAAATAAATAAATTTGAATATAATTTTCAAAATAGTTATTAAATATAATGGAAAGAATAAGTGTTCATAAAATTGGATTCTCGTGTTGGAAATTATTCACAATAAACAGTTTCCAAGGCTATAAAGTAAGTGGCTAATTTGTTAATATTATTTTAACCCGTATTTATAAATATATTTACTTTCAGATTTTATCGATGATCCCGTATTTATTAATTAAAATTAAAAAATAATTAGTATATTTAAAAACTTTTAATTAGTATGAATGGTCTCTATGTAAGCATAATTAATAGCTATTATGTAATATTAGTCTAACTATTTTGGCACACTAGCTACAATAAAGTTTCATAAAAGGGCCAGGGTAATATTTTATTCAGTGATTAATATTTTTGACATTTTAGTGATTTGATGGAACATAAGTATTTTGAGTATAATTGCAATCAAACTTATTTATGGCCAACTTATATTATAAAAGTGATAGTGCTCATTTAACATAGTGCCAAAATAAAGGGACCGGCAACATTAATTCATGTTTGATTTATATAATATCTTACATATTACTGTTTTATGACATAATATTATTACATTTTATCCTAACTTATAGTAATTAATTATTAGACACCCTCTCACATTATCACTATATAAGCGCATGTTAACTTATGTTAAACACACAGTTGTATGAGTACAGTACAGTATTCACACTTATTACATTGTGTACTGTATTTGTTAATCAAATAAAATGCCTTTTTAAATATTTTGTACATTCTTTTATTTAATTTTACATGGTAAACCCAGTTATCCGTAATAATTAAAGTATCAAGTTATATTATCGGTAATCGGGGATCGGTGGTCAGGCTGAGTGGCCCGTTAACCCGACAATATTAATTATGATTATAACTAATACTATCATTCATGTTGTAATCATTTGTATAACATATAGTATATTATTAAAATTTATGCATTAGAATCTGTAGATTTATTTTTAAAAATATTAATTTTAATGTTCAAATGTGTTAAATAAACTTGATATTTATAAATAATTTGTTGATCTATTGAATATTACTAATGCCAACTAACTGAACAATGTCATTAATTTTATTATCAATTGATAATAATGCTCATGACTCTAATTAATATGTTTGAATTAGTTTGATCATAATTATATTATAAATTATATAAATATAAGTGCAGTATGTATATTCATATGTACTAAATAATCATTAAGGTACTTGGTATCAATTATTGTACTATTTATAAATTAGTAAATGAACTAAAAAGTAATAAAATATATTTTTATGAAAATATAGTTAAATTATTTGTCGTTTAATGAATTAATAGTATGTTATTCATTTGCTCATACAAATGATAAATATTGTATGTTATCATTTTGTGCACTTTAAGTTTATGAACCATTTGTATTTATTTATTTATAGATAACCAACTTGTTCAAGTTTAATAATCATAATGTCAAGTTTTTAGTTTCACGACATTTAATAATATGTACCTTATCCCACTGTATGTACGGGTAGCCATCCCTCAGATGCCTGTCCATAGCCGGTCTCATCCACCTCTTCCGGTGGGATTCAGTATTGAGATACACACGTCCCCATTGGGGTAGACTTATGGGAAGTCATAATACAATGACTTTATGGAAAACAAAAAGACAATGAGTGGACAGACTGTTTGGATGCCATATATCGCTCAAAAATCGCATTTTAGGCGGACTTATGGGAAAGTCTTTGGGGAACGTAAGGTGCGCCCTAAACAGCCCGCCCTCGTATGGGGTGCCTCTGAGGCCAAAGATAGTCACTTCCCATACGAAGATGTCTTCCTCGTTGACCAGACCTACGGAGAAATATTGCGACGGATTTTCGTTTATTACTTTGAGTTGTCTCTGAAGTGTAAGAGTCGCCGGATCTGCCATATTGTCTGATTGTCTGTAGAGTTGTTGGGGATCTGATACAAGTGATAATCACTACAACTATGGCTAATGTTAGCGATATTCACACAAAGACTGATCAGTGACTCAAAACACGTGCGCTTACTATCAGATCAACACAACTGCTATTCACTGGCTATCTGTCACTCAATGAGTAATCAATTGTTTAAACTTAAGGTATGAGTTATTTGCGATTAATTGACATTAAAAAATACTTTTGATGTAATTATTGATTGTAATTATAGTTCAGTATATTTCGATATATAAATCATTTTATTTTATTGTCAGAATTTATCTAAAATATTAACATTTACTACAATTAACTCAAAACAACACAAAAGCCTTTCCATCTAATGGACAGTTAGGTATCACTCGTCAAACGACTTTTCCGCACACTTTATAATCCTGCGTTTGTATGCCTCCAAGTCTTCGCAATATTCTTCCTAAGCATACAAAACATGATTTAATTATCACTAAAATTCTCAATACAAATGTTATTTCAATAAACTATAAGACAGTTACTGACCGCCGCTTCGTCATTGGCCACCGACTCTGTGTTGGGATCCGATAGCATACACATCACCGACAATATGATCGCTTCCACGGTATATCGGGAATGCCATCTCTCGCACGGCTGTCCATAACCAGAGTGATCATCCCCTC